CATTGCTACCAGTGGCTCAGGACGGCATAAAAGCATTCCCCAAGAACGACGCAGTTCCAAATGTTTTCACTGTTTCGCCCCCCTTGAGAAATCTCAGCCTAGTTAGTCAGCTCTTGATAGTGGTGGCAGGTAGCACATGGCCCTAAAGCAGTTTTCCAAGGGCCGGGCTTAGAGAAGGCTGTCAATGGACACGAGTTGTGATGGTGGGTATGTGCTGCCCACCGGCCCCAAGGAAGGACAGCAGGGGAGGACTGCTGCCCCCATATCCAGCTTGCTGGCTTCCCAGAGGCAGCTGGTTGGCCATTGTGAGAAACAGGATGCTGGATATGCCATTGGGTGACCGTTGAAAGGGCCACTGAACCTCCATCTCTCTTCCTCTTTACTATATAGAGGAGAACTTGGCTTCTACTGTGACATCATGATTTTATGTTTTTGTGCCCCAATGTTGCGGAATGGCGAACGATCTCACAGGTTCTGCACATTCCAGCATTGTGGGGTCAGACAGGGGTATGGTGGCTGTTTTTAACAATAATCATTCATCTAGTGTGGCACTGAAAGGGCACCTCTCATCTAAGAAAGAGGAGAATCAGGGAACACTTGTCCTTTGGATATTGTTGGACCACAGTTCCCATCACCCAGTCAGCATAGCCAATGGTAAGGGATGGTGGGAGTTGTAATCCAACAAAGTCTGCAGAGCCACACATTCCCCATCCCAGGTTTAAACAGAGATGGAAGGTCCATCCTGTCTGACATGCCCTTCATCTTGAGACTGAATGGGGGAAGCTTGCAGCACATGTGGATACTGCAATCTGAAACTCACATCTCATACGATGGAAAGATCTATGGCAGCATTGCTTCTGAACGAAACTCTGGCAGAACACAGCTCCTTGCTGAAACCTAGCAGGAGGCCGGGGTGTGCAGGATAAGAGCTTTCCATTTTGGCTCTGCCTCTGCTTTTGAGGACAAGGAGCAGGATTAATTTTCTAGCCACAAGCACATCATAGCATCACTGTAGATTACATTAATAGGATTGGACTGGACTAGTATCAGCATGATGGCTCCTCCCAATATTCCAAAGGAAAGAAGCAGTCGCAGTGGATTAGCCCAGGACAGCTAAATATTTTGCCAGCTTCCCGTTCCACAAGTTCATCTTGTCCTTCAAACGGGTAGGGGATATCCTTGGGCAGGTGCCCTTCGGCATCTGCCAACTCTGCTCTCCAGTGCATGCTCCCCCTTTGCTTGCTCCTCCCTGATTTCTGCTTGCTGGATCCTTGTGTGTCCCCTCTGGATGATGAACATCTCTTTCCGTTGCCATCGTCCTTTTCATGGCTTGCATTCTCCTTCTCCTCTCACACCTTTATCAGCAGCTTTGCTTTCCTGTCCAGCATGGTGCTTCTTTGGGATGAGAGAGGCTGGTAAGTTTCTGTTCCATTATGCTTTTCATCTTCTGCAGCACGATAGAGCACTCGAGGGTGGGGAGGATGCAAGGTGTCTGGGGCCACTTCTGGGGTGTTAGCAGTCAGCAGAGCCCTCTGCCAAGCCAAGCCATTCATTTCTTCACAGCAATAGTTTTAATGCTTTAGAGGCTGTTAGCCTGCATAAGAATTTTCAGTCCGAACTGCATCCAGTACACAATACTGCTCGATTTTGACTTTCTGCACATTTCAACCATGGCCATCTACCAGTAGGAACAAACTGATATTCCTGCATATACATTTACTTTTGTATATTTCCATGCAGGCTCCTACTGGGCTGAAAGTGCCTAGTCCTGGTAATGGTGCTTCTGAAGAAATTATTATTACTAAAACTGAAGCAGGGTAGAAAAAAGTAGATGACATTAAAATCCTCCAGCAAATTTGCTGTACCACCATTTTCTGATGACATGGCAGCAAGATGTTTCTTCCAGCAAGACTCTCACTTCTTGTGCCCAGAATGCTTTCTGAAGAATTGAGCCGCAATTTCTGTTGGGATGAAATCTCGGCATACTTTGGGAAACTGCAGTTACTGTGACTGACAACCGGCAAATGATGAACATGCTTTGAAAAGTAACAGCAAAATAGCCAACTGCATTACACTTTTAAAAATTGCTGTAACTTCTGGAAAGCAGCACCAGGTTGTCCTCAGGCCAGTATCTTATTATGCATTTTTAGCATGTGCCATTGACAGCTAATAACCTAGTGCTTTGGTGATGTTCAGTGTCTCAGGATCCAGAGGAAACATCAGTAAAAGTCCTCTACCTGGTTGCTGTTTATTGCCTGAGAACTGGCCCAGGGCTTCGTACAACCATATGTGAGGCCCTATAGTTACATTATGGAACCATTAATATAGGGGGTAAGGAAGAGAATCGCCATGTCTTCTGGACTGATGCCCCTTCTTCCCAAATGCAGAACAAAGTCAACAAGAAGAGAGAGGGGTAAGGGGAAAGCTCTTGATTCCTTTCCATCTCTGCTCAGTGTCTAGTTTGCCCCAGTCTCTGTTGTTCATCTGTGCCCAACCAGCATCCCTTCACAACATGCCCTCATCTGTTCTGCATTATACTGATCCTTCCACAGGCAGCCTGTTGTTCTCCATCTGCTACTAGACGGGGTTTTACGGGTATCCTATTATGTCAGCAAGCAATAAGAGACAGGGAAATGGACAGGAAATTGCAGAAAAATACTTTGAAAAATGTGGACATTAGCAGCCATCAGGGGAATCTGAGTACTTGTTCCCATAATGCCAAGAAATTGTTGTTCAGTTCCTATAAACATTTGGACAGTATTCTGGAACTGTGGCCCTACAAGAAGACAGGTGGGGTTAGCTAATATTACACATCAATATTACAGTAATTACATGAATTTTTTGTCTGTATAGGAAGACATTACCCTGTGCAATTCGTAATGTTTCAAGTACATTGGTTTAAACAGGCTGTGGACTGGGCTGTTAGTGAGCTGCCCAGAAATGTGAATTTTAAGATGGTTGTTAGCAAAATGAGAGTGAATTCCCAAACTTGTACAGAAATTATCTTATGCCCTAACAACATATTTACTTAGCCTTCTTTTCTTGTGCATGGAGTAGATTTATTTAGCTTTCTCGAGAGATCTCTGTTTGTTGCCCAGAAATACTGAGCTGTGGATGTTGGTGGCTGGCCATGAGGATAACGCACTTGAGGCGAAAGTATGCAGATTTATTTCCCTTGTGCAATGCTGTCTGCATTCTCAACTAACACTGAAATTCAGGACAGTTTCAGCTCAGGAGCTGGATAAATATTTCAAGTAGAGACATTCTGGTATGATAACAATCCTCATGTGGTGAAGCAGCCCAAGGGGACTCAACATAGCTCATGGGCAGAACAATCCTATGGCCTGTAGAAAGTATAGCCATAGGATTGTTCAGATACTCAATCCACTGTCAGAAAAAAAGCGCCAACTGTGGATTTAATGCATTTGACAATACTCCAGCCTCCTCCTCCTCCTCCTCCATCCCCAGGTGGGCAAAACCAGACATATAGTGGATTTGCAAGGGGAGAGAAACATGGAGATGAAGATCACCTCTGCACTGAGCTCAGAGGCTTACAGGCACCTGCACTGGATTGCACCCCAAGAATCTTTTAAAAAATGGACCATTTGTGAAGAGAGTGGCAGTGGGGTTCGAATGCAGCCTTCCTGGTTTAAGGGCAGGCGGACCAAGTCATTAAGCAACACCTCGCGGACTGCAATCTCTCACAGCTATTCCAGGATCATTTGTGCTGATGGAGCCTGCATAACATCAGTGGGCTGCATCAGTGTTGAACGCTCATTAGTCAGTCCCCTTCTTTGCCTCTTTCCCCCTTATTCAATTAATAAAAGGGGATTAAAAATGCCTGAGTGCGGATGGATTATACCATCAGTGGTAAATCAGTAGGAGACTTTCTAACATAAAGAGGAGTGCCTTTTAATATAGGTTGATTAGGAGAAAAACTCCCAGTGTCTGATGAATAAGGTGTGGATGGTACATGTGAACCCTGGTCTCTTGCCCCCTCCCTGCTTCCGACTTCTTCTCTTGCACTTATCACTGCTGTGTGTGTTCAGTGGCTACTTGAGCCCATCTGTCTCAGCAGCTGCCCTTAAGAAGCATGTGTTCTTACAATATTTCTGAACTCTTGATTTATGAAACACTTGTGCAATTGACCATGAAAGCATGCTGGATTAGGCACATTTTCCAGCAAAAGGGTTGTACTGCCAGTAGAAAAGAGGTTTTTAATAGCTATTCACTGCAGTGATCCCCTCTATTTTAAAAGCCACTTCCTCAAAACAGTGAAAATGGCTTCAGACAATCAAGGAATGCCTGTTGTCTAATCAGTGCCTTTACCAAATGAGAATCATATATTATTATTAATTTCATTACAGTACCAGCAGAAGTTCTCTGGGCAGTTTACAACAATCCATAAAACAGAAAATAAAATACAGTAAGAATATCATAAAAGAAAACCATCAAACAGTTTATGGCAAATAAAATAAAGAATAACAAAGCATGACTCTGTAAAATACTTGGGATGGGTAATCCCCTCAAGCTCCTGGGTAGCCAATATAATCTGTATGAGTCAATCCACGAGTCTGAACAAGATCATGGAATATTTTGGGATGGCCAGAGGAAGATATGTTTGGGGTGGGGACATGGAATTATTTTAATTCTTTATCTGCCACAAAAAAAAAAAAAAAGTTTCATGGGATTGTTGCCACTTCCAAGGACTAGAATAAATTGAAATACTTCCAAAAGCAAGGGCTTTTGTAGGTACTCACTTTCTTGGGCTTAGACTATCCTGCTGCAAACGATGAAGCAAATGTCTTCAGCCCTGAGGCACCCTTCTGCTAACTGCTTTGAAGATGTGCCCAGGAGGCTCAGAAACTTTCCTTAGAACTCTCTCCCTGCCCCCAAATTATTGTCCTCCACTTATTACAAAAAGTTTTATGAATAAATAACCCTGCATGGGTGCCATGACTGAAATGAATTCTTTATTTTCTTCTTGTTTCTTTTTGCAGAACTGAAGACTATATGAAGTTATCTCTAGACTCTTCCTAAGGCTTTTCCTTTGGCATCTTTAAAGGCTTGAGAAAAAACAAAACCCCAAACCAACCAGATATGCATACACAGCTGAAAAATAAATGACCCCCTCGAAACACAGGGCCACTCTCTTTGGCTGAAGCTGAGTTCCTCAAAATAACTCTTGGTAATATCAAGATTAGAGAGAATCTGTGTGTTTGATCATGAGAATATGGGCTAGAGAGAGTGACAAACTACATTTTGAGGGTTCTGTTCTTCCATATAAAAGACCCTCAAGGAAAACAATTACACCTTGTTGTGTGAACCACTCCATATCTGCTGCTGCATCCCCAAAACCATTAATCTCATCAGACAGCATGGACAAAAGTGGCCCAATTCTATCAGACCAGTGAACATAACTCAACATCTAGTACCTTTCTGCCACTCTGCCCTGGACCCAAAGCTCTCTTGATGTCTTTGAAGACTGTACATTGAGATCTAAAGCACTGTGAAAGTTTCTTTCATCCCTCGGTGGAGGGGTTGGTTGTTGTGTAATCTAGACTGGGGTAGGCAATCTTTTTGGGTCTATGGGAACATTAGGCAATTTGGGAAATTGTCCTACACACTGCAAAATGGCTGTGGTGCAAATAAAACCATTGGCCTGCAGCTGCCTGCCATCTTAATTTCCGAAGGATGTCTCTGCACCCCTCCTGTTGCCTAGACACATTCACAGGAAAAGAAGATGAAAGCAGCTAGACACCCATTTTGCTCTGAAGGGATCATTAACTACTTGCAAGAATTTTTGTTATTAAAAAATTAATAAAAGGAGGGTTTGGCACCTCAGCGAGCACTAAGACATGTATCCGATGGCATTCTGGGACACACCGGTGCCACGTTGCTTACCCTGATCTACCATAGTCAACCTCGCTTCACAGCCTTTTGAAGAGGAAACACCCATCCATCTTAGGTTGAGGGAAGTCCCAAGAAATAAGAATGATTTACAGTGCAATCCTAGGTGCGTCTACTTACCACTATGTCCCACTGAATTCAGTGGGGCCTGCTCCCAGTTATGGGTAGAGGATTGCAGCCTTAGTGAAATGGTTTGTGACTGATTTTCATTATGAGGACTAGAGCTTCATTAATGCTCGATAGCCAGTGCTTCTGTTTTACTTGCTCCTTGCTCTTGTTCCTAAGAATGGAATTTGAAAGTATAAATTGTCGAATAGAAGGTGCCCTGTGTGCTATTCATTATGGATATCCTGCATTTCTTTTTTGTCATAGCACCACACTGCTTTATCATTTCCTTTTTTGAAATCCTCTTTGTTGCTTGCCTCCCTACAACCAATCCAGCAATGTACTGAATCATTAACCTGTACCGAAAACCGGATTTGTTGGGTCATGTGTCAGGAGGCTGATTTCTAGCTAACATTTCCTAATGTTTCAAACCCAGGCTCCTTTTAAAAACATACACACAGTATCTTAATTCTTTGGGAATACTTGAAATTATTTAGTCAATCATTCGTTGGATCTCCTCGGTTTGGGGAATGTTCTTCTCTATTATATCTCTTTTTAAAGGGCTTGTTTAGGAAAAAGCAGGAAGCTTTGGCTATATGTATATTTAAAAAGCGAAGCTTCCACTTCTGTATCTATTTTCACTAGCATAATACCATTTGCAATTGAATTCTATTTATATAAGGACACTCCGCTTTAAAGTTACCTGTTAGCAACCACTCTGCCTCCAATTCACATTGTTTGACAGATTCAGTGTTCCAAACACCATTAACTATGCAAAGATTGCCTTATATACAATATAATATGTCAGTATACAGCAATACATCCATACAAGGAATATGGCTAGTGACAGTGAGCAAAGCTATCTCCTCAATAATGACGAAAATGGCTGTCTGGAAATTTTTTACATTTTTTTTTCTAAATGTGAAGGTGAATCTTATACATAGGACTGTAATTTCTAGTGGCTTATAATGTATATTGCCATTATTCAGTCCAATAAACCTTTAAATAGTTTGAGAACGGTCCTTCTGTGTGTTCATGTGCATGGTATCACACCACTCTATCCCCAGCCTCTTTGTTTGAAAGAATGCACCACTAAAAATAAAAGACTTTTAAAACCATGATTCATGTCCACCTTGGAAAACAGTGCTGTTGCCCAGAAGTAGCCGCTAGAAGGCAGCATTAGCTTCAAAGGGGATTCTATAAGAGCAAATCTACTTAGTTCCAAACTTCAGGTGTCAAATTTACATGTGGTTTCGCCCAACTCCCCCCTCGCCCCCACAGTCACGCTTTTGTACAGCTCCGTTTTGGGTCTGTCCCCATGGGTGGCTGAGTAAGTAGAGAACCATCAAAGCAACTAACGTTGGCCATGCTGTCTGGGGCTTGTGGGAATTGCAGTCCAAAACTTCTGGCAGCTTCCAATTGCCTATGCCAGATTTATCAGGATGAAACTCTTACAAAATTGAACAGCTCTGCTATATATATATATATATTTTAATCGTTTTTAGAGAAGAGGAGCCTCAGTTGCAAAGGCCTCCCTCTGCTGGCTTGTGAATGGAGCACAGGCTTGAGTAGGTAATTGTACAAGACCCTGATAGAGAATATGAACAGTTCAGGTCAGGACTGTTGAAATAACTGGTGAGGATTCTGGGCAGCTGCAAACTAACAGGAACCTTGAAATCGTGGCAAGCAGAGCGAAACTACAGAACTTAGTACAACATGTGCAGGAATGTTGAGGGGATTAAGTCATGTCTGGCAGCTGAAGATGAACTGAGGGGAGAGTGAGAAAAGCAATAGAAAGGCCAAATGAAAGATGGATGAATCTGGATGGCTGCTTTACCCTAAACCCTAAACCTGAAACACAACAGGGAGCAATACCTCCTCTGAGGAGGTACCCATAACCCAAGGGCAAGGTCTGGGGTTTCCAGGATGGACTGATCCTGCTAGTCTTTCTGAACTAGCAAGGGTCAGCAACACGTGGCATGAAGGTATGTGAATGCTGGAGCAGGACACAGAATGCTCTTGGGGCCTCACCTTAAAGAGGCAAGGACGAACTCGACCCTACGTTGTATTAAAGGAGATGTAGATTGTTCCTGTCTTTTACGGACCGGAGAAGCCGATCAGGAATGTGTAAGAGCATCAGCCGCCAAGAAACAATACTGGAATCTTGCTTGTGACAGATGAATATGGAACTTGTTCGGCAAAGGCCTGGACACAGTGCAGTCTTCGTACTGGACTGCTGCTCAAGAGGTGTTCCACCACCACACATGCTTCCTAAGGGCAATTGGTACAAATTGGCAGCCATTCTCACAGACAGAACTGATTGTGGGCCAAACTACTTGTTATGCTTCATTACACGAAGCTGCCTACTCATTACAAAAATACAAAATGAAAATATGGGAGGTGGCAATCTGCAGTGGACAGCTGCCAGGAGAAAGGAGGAATTGCCCTCTGATTTTTCCTACTGCCCCTCCCCTCCAGCTCCTGTTGCCCCATGGGCATGTCCCCAGAAGGGAGAGCCAGTGTGATGTGGTTGCTGGAGTGCTGGACTGGAAGCCTGGGAGAGCCAGGTTCCGGTCCCACTCTGCCATGAAGCTCGGTGGATGACTTCGGGCCTCTCAGACTCTCAGCCCAACCTACCTCATACAGCTGTTGCTGTGAGGATACAACAGAAGCCACCTGGGGTTCCTAGCAAGAGCGGAAAAGGCAGCACCTAAATGCAAAATAATAAGCAATAATGATTACAGGCTAAGCCCTTCATCCACGATCATGACCCAACTACACCAAAGCCATCTTTCAGTGCAGATTCCAGTTTCTGCAGCTGCATTTTGTAAAGCCTTGAGGAGCAGCTACGCAATTGACTTTCTTCTGTAGACTGGCCCCATAGATTCATGCTCATAAAATCCCTCATGATATTGTTTGGTGCAGGGAAATACAATGAAACTCTATGAGAGACTTCATTTAGTGGCAAACGGAGAAGTTTCTTTTAGCTACTATCCAAGAATGTAGTCAGCATCATCCTTACTTTGCAAGCATTTCTAGTCTCTCCCCATCCCAAAGAAAGTGCAATTGAACTACATAAAGCAGGGATGTAGATGTCCTTTCAGTGCCACAGAAGTATTTGAGCCACTTTCCTGTGGGTCCATCCCATGGCTTGCTTTTATGTGTAAAGATCTGCTACTAAATTGGTATGGACCATTTTATAGGTTCTTAACATACGATCATTACCTGTCTTGGACTGAGAACAACTGGGCAGTAAGGAATAAAGAATGCTGTGATTGGCCCCTCATATGTAGGGGGCATGCTGGGATTCACCCCTAGAGCACAATGCCCAGGTGGCCAGAAATGCTCTCGCTCAGCTGAGGCTGCTGTGCCAATGGAGAGGAGCCGGCACACCATGACACTTCCTTAATTAGATTCTGTTTGGATTGGTGCAAGGCACTTCATGTGTGGCTCCGTTTGAAGACAGCTTGGAAATGCCATCTGATTCAGGACGTTGCTGCCAGATATTTGACCAGCACCAGCTACAGACAGCACGTGACTCCTGAGCTGCAGCAGTTATGGAGACTGCTGGTCCATTTCTGGGTCTCCTGAACTCTGGCTCTGCCCATTAAGCCCCAAGCTGCTTGGAACCAGATTGACTTAAGGACCACCTCCTTGTGTGAGCTTGCAGGTGTGTTGAGGTCATGCAGAGAAGTGGGTCTTTCTTTTCTGCCAGTTTCTGATGTGCAGCCAGCAGGAAAGGGCCTTCTGTGCCCAACTTTTGGAACACCCCCCTGAAGGCCCCTTCACTCATAGCCTTCCACCGGAGGGGCTGTAGTCAGGAGCTGGACCAGATGCCCCTGGTTCACTCCACGGAATCTCCAGACAAGAGTCCTGCTTAGAATCCTAGAAAGCCACTTTATGATACTGCAGTAGATGAATTTGGTAATTTCTTGTGTAAATTTTGCTCTCAGATCCATTACACGGAAATCTGACCTGGTGTGACGGTAGGAGGTTACTTAAGAGCTAAACCACAGAAGAGTAGTGGAATTGGGCCATACTCCTTTACACACCAATTTACTTCTGAGTAAACATTATTGCATGGGTCCTCAAACTAAGGCCCGTGGGCCGGATCCGGCCTGCCATACCCTTTTAACCAGCCCACCCCACAGGTTTTGCACTCACTGGGCACATGTGTGGCTTGCTTGCAAGGAGTTGTTTTGGAAACACTTGGAGAAAACAATCTCCTTGTGAGCAAGCCGGCGCCGCGTCGTGTGTGCGCCTGGCAGCGGCTTGCTCACGAGGAGGTTGTTTGGACTCACTAGGAAAAAATCTCCTTGCGAGCAAGTTGGCACCTCGCCCCCCCCCATCTCCGCGCTGGCACCTGTCAACTGGCCCCCTGTTCAAAAAGTTTGAGGACCCCTGGTTTAGAGCATCATGGCAAAAGTTTGGTGTGGGGCATGGGTCCTCAAACTAAGGCCCACGGGCCGGATCCAGCCCACCATGCCCATTTTACCGGCCCGCCCCAAAGGTTTTGCACTCGCTGTGTGTGCACATGGGCACTCATGGGTGCGTTGCTTGCTCGTGAGGAGATTGTTTTGGACTCGCTCAGAGAAAACTATCTGCTCGCAAGCAAGCCGGCACCTCGCCCTGCGTGCCCCCCTATCCCTGCCTCACGTGTGCCCCGCCCCCTCACTGGCACCCCCCACCACCAGCACCGCCTTGGCAGCCCCCACCCACTGCTGGCACCTGTTAACTGCCCCCCCCCCGTTGAAAAAGTTTGAGGACCCCTGCATCATTGTGTTGTCTGTTGAAGGCAAATCACCATATAGGTGTTTGTCTATAAAGCTTCATGTTAGAATAGGCTCTAAAGGATGGCTAGTCTCCAAATAAGTGTGTTGTTTTAGCTTTTAAAAGTGGACTTAAGATTTGGCTCATTCTTTCCCAGTGAAAAGTCCAACCTATTTTCTATTCTCAGCATAAAGCAGCCTTCTAATATGCTGGCCTAAGGGAAAATACTTAATTGAGATTACTAGACTGCCAGACTTTCTGTTGGCATTTTTTCATGATAAAATGTGGTTAGAATCAGACTCACAATTTAAAGATATTTCTGATAACAGGCGCATTCTGAAATAAAATATACCAATCAGGACATGGTATGAGCACAGTGGTCTCTTGCCACAGCTGGCTTTCCTCTGAATAATACATTTTCCTTTGATCCTGGTCCAGTCCCTTATATCAAGTTCATTGGCCCTTGGATAACTGAGGGTTAAGTCTCAATCGACCCTGAAACTTGCCCACATTTCAGACCAAACTTAAATGATAAACCTGTTCACCAAGGTTGACACTGTGGCAGTGCAGTGTTACAAATTTCTACTCAGAAGTAAGTCTCACTAAGTGTAAAGGAGCATAATCTCAGATCAATCAGTACAGGACTGCCGCCTAAGTACATTTGGGAGCTATGTCTATTGTAAAGGGTGATGATGTACTTCCAATGCTACGATTTCTTCAAAAATATTGAAACTTTCTTCCAACTGAAGAAGCACTTTTGTGCACAGGAAAACAATGTGAATCACTGTGCATAATCAACAGCCAAATTCTAAGGCAGAGGTGCAGAATCTTAAGCCCAGAGGATTTAAGATCCAGCACTCTTCAAATGGACACTTCTCTTCCCCAACCTACCCTCCTTCTCCCAACCCCAATGTTTTGTATTTTCCCAGTTTTCATGCCACCAGACAAAACTACAGAAGACATTAATGTTTTTGAAGTCTCTCAACCAGTGTTGTGAATTCTGCTAAGAGGGACTCTTGGCTTATGAAGCAATAGCATCTCCATAGTAACTTTTTCCTTTCTGTCATTATTCCTCTTCTTCTTGGCAGGGTTCAGAGAGAACAGCTGGCTGCCATCTTCACCCTCATGAAGGAAAAAGCAGAAACATTTGGGGAAATGTCTGAAGCTGACATCAAAGAACAGCTGAATCTTTATGACATGTAGCCTCTGTCACCAAGCCTGATCACCACTTTCGTCATCCATCAGGACTATAGATTTTCAGTATTAGCATACAGAGGAATTGTGAGTTTAGGCCTATGGAAATACTTCAGGCTCATATTTTTTAATCTTTTGGAACTGTTTTTTGCTGGAAGAAAAATGTATAGTGTAGGTAGGGGAGAAGCACTGTGGAATATAGTCTGTAAGATGGAATATACCAACAGCTGCTCCAATGGTGTTAGGAAGGGAGGTAACCTGGATGTTGCAGGCAGATATGTAGGCACTGTAAATGTTTAACAAACTATCCCTGAACTTGTATGTAACATACTGGAATGCGAATCTTTGCAATTATCTACGCTGAGAATGTAGCCAATCAGGTAGCCTGATCAATGGACAATTAGCATGTAAGAAACAAATTATTGTTGAAAATAAAGTAATAACTAATTTAATAAATCAACAACTTACTCAGTCATCCACTTGTTTCCATCAAAAGGAACGGTTTTTAGCATTGCTTACTGTGGATAGAAAGGATTCCAGAAATTACCTAATTCTACACACACCTGCTGATGGACTATTCTGGTAAACACTATGAAAGGCAAATACGTATTTTAAAAAGCAAGATAGTAATACTAGCTTGAAAAAGAATCCCGCTATTTAGATGTGATAAATTTAGCTGGGTCAAATGGATATGCTATTTGGACTATAGAAGCCATTCTACAATTTAAATTCTAAAAGTCTCTTCCTTGTGTTATTACCTTAAAAATATATCTCACACAAGCCAGCCCTCATTTGTGTTGTCCAAAGAGAGCCCTGAGATTTGCCGTTTGGAGAAAAAAAAACCTATTGGTCCATTTTTCTGTTTAAATTCCGGTTTAGCCTGCTTCCCCAGTAACAAGCCATGCTTGTATCTTGCATGATACAGCTAAGAATCTGCAGAATATATACGGATTTTAGAGCACTATATTCTCTAATCAGGTACACATTTATGTAAAACTACACATACTTTCGAGAGACCTCGCGATTCCGCCAAGACGTGTACAATTTTTACGATCTTTTGGTTGCTTTATTAAAGGTATTACACTAATAAGGACTTTGCGAAGGCGAATAAACCCCGTGAAGTTCAAGGAATTAAAATTATCTTAATGGGGACTGGTCTGCATAAAGGGCGCTGGAGGTAGAAGGCATGCTTGAGCAACGAAGCGAGCGCCTAATCCAGCGCTCCTTTTTCCGCCTCTCCTCTCCGCCTTGCCAAGGCACACATGCTCCTCTTGCACGAGAGCAGCAGCCAATATGGCCTTTTTTTCCCAGTTGCGCATGCGCTGTTTTATGACTGCTTAAAAAAAAAAAAAGAAATCGGCACTCTTCAACCCCGAGCACAAAAAGACGCTCATTCTAACGTGAACTGCACTAGGGTGCAGTAATCGAGGAAAAGCCCGGCTGTAGCGAGCGTTCACCGGAGGTCATAGAGCTATACAGGGTAAGACAGATATACGAATGGAAATAGTGAGAGTAACTCAAACCGAACATCTTGGTTGCTTAAGACCTCTCCCCCTTTTAAAACTTCTGTTGAATACAAGAACTCTCCATAGCAAACACTGAAAAAAAATCAAAATTTTAGCATCAGTGCGATCGGGCAGCAGCATCTTCTCCACAATAAAAGGCAAAGATAGGATCGCATGCTCTTGCATTTTTCTAATTCAGGTCTTGCTCTGTATGCAAAATGTGAGATTTTAAAGAAAATGTTTTGGTTTTGTTTCTACATTTAAAAAACTGCCATACACATGCCAACTCTGACCTATTATCTCTGAATTGCAGATCATTCTGGTGATAGCTGTAGCCGTGAGAGTATGGCTTATGGCAGTCCCGTAGTGTACTGTTAACATTGCTCTTTTGGAATTCTAAGCAAAACCCGCCACCGCTCAGAAGGACGAATCTACTTTCATCTCGGTACAAATCTGGCAGTCGATCCCGCGCACAATCCTCTTGGTGCACTGATTTACATGTAGGAGAGTTGTCCTTTAAAATATTTTAAAACTAAACAATATTTCCATGCAAAATAATACCCGATTTATAAAGAATATGAATCCAATCTCTGCTAATGGGGGAGAAGAATACGCATACCGCTATCCAATCAGAACTAAAATAGTTTAAAATCTTCGATTTCTCCATTGATTTACTTGAGCAGCCACCCGACGTAAAGGGGAAAAAATGGGAACCAAGACGTATGCAGTGCACGTGACTCTATTCTTCAAAAGTCTATGAAAACGGAGAGAGCACATGAATCTTCATCCGGGTACCTGCTCTTCTTACGTGACCCGGATGAAGACTCATTTTCTACGGTGGCCGTGTAGGTTCCTTCCCGGCTTAATGGAGCGGTGGCTGCCGCTGCTCGTCTCACCGTTACCCTCGCGGAGACTGCGCTCGTGGTTAGAATAGGGACCCTCGCTGCGAGAGGGTTTCCAGGGCAACGAAACGACGGCGTGAAGCGGTTCCCGGAGAGGAGACTACTGGGGGGCCGGCGGGTAGGCCACGCTGGAAGCCTCTGCCGGAGAAGGTGCTGGGGAAGCACGGCCCTCGGCGAGGTCCCGGCAGCCGCCCTCTTTGGTGTTGCCGCGGCAGCTGGCGCAAGCTGTGGCGAAGCTACTGAGCCGAGGCCCCGTGGGGGGTGCAGTTGGGACGGGTTCTAATGCCCCTTCTTCCCCTTGGAGTCCATCAGTTGCCGCCGCCGCTTCTGCACATAAGGATCTCGCCGGTTTCTTTGCCGTTTGCCTTAGAGATAGCCTAGCTTCTCAGAGCTGGTCCTCAGGGCAAAGTCACCAAAGCACTGGCCCACGAGACAGGCAGATCTTTCCCTAGCGAGCTTAAGTTAGAGTTTACGACAACTTCGGTGAGGTTTCTGTTTTATCCGCACCAAAGTACAGGTACGATTGAGCAATCCAGAGGGCTCTTTTCCCCGCTGCAATGGTACCAATCAAGGCGCACAATGACAGCAACCCCTGTAGGATGCCATCAAACAAAGATCCCAAGCCACCTGATCCTAAGGACATCTCCTCCAACCCGTCCCTTTTAAAAGCCTTGGAGGCAGTTGTAGCAGCTGGTAGACGTGGCTTGCTTGGTCCTGCAGCAATGGCGGCGGCCGCAGCCATTCCAGAGCTGAACCTGGGCAGCAGCAATGGAGTAGTTTCACAGCAAGGCCTGAATCCTATTCCACGGAACTCTTTAGTAAAAGATGAAAGCTTTATACAATCTGAAGAGAAATCAGAATATGGCCTGAATCCTATTCCACTTGTTGAAACACTGGAAAAAAGAAAGAAGCCGGGCAGTGAGAAGCGCACAGCTGTAATAACTGTTGTGCAGTCAGTATCTGGTAAGTCAAGGCAATCTTCAGTATGCTGGGACATCAGATGGGAAGCACAAGCCTCCCATCTTTCCATTTGCCATGCCACTGTTTCTGTTGTATGCTTCTGTGGGGGGGTGGAAAAGCTGCCAATTAAAAGTTACTTATTTGAAGTGACTTTGGTAATTGTGCAAAGTGTCCATAAAAATGGAGAGCAGAGACAAGCAAAGGAATCTTGTTGCAGATCCTCAGGTTTGGTCCTGCTTGCAATCTAGGCTGCTGCACCTAAGTGAAACTTTAGTGATGTTGAGGCTTGATTTCCAGGCCAGCCCCCTTGTTTGTCTCATGGCAGTATTTGTTTTGTTTTGGTTTTTTTCATTTTTATACCACTGAATAGCTAAAAAAACTCTCTTTGCAGTTAAAAAAGTCAAAAGAGCAGGAAAACCAACAACAAAAAAAGATCAATAAGCAATAGAACAAAAAGCAATAAAGCAACCATAATAACAGCAAACCCACAGCAGCTGTAATCAAGTTGGCACATAGGTGCAGCAGTAATATGTAATAAAATACAATATTAAAACTAAAAATTGAAGTGTTAAAATACCTGGAAAATAAAAGGGCTTTCACTGGTGCAAAAAGAAAAAAGTGTGGGTGCCAGTAGTTGCCCAGAATGTAGGGACAGGGGAGGGTCCTTTTATTTTTCCTTGGAAACCAGAGCACATGGTAGGAGAAAGTGGTACTTGCTTGTGTGCTTCCCACCACCACTTCCAGCTTCCTGGCTGAGCTCTACTGTACCATTCTTGCCATGTTACGTTGATTCACTCTGGCTCTTTTCCAGTCCATTGTATTAACACAGTTCTAACAATTGCTCATTCTTCATGCATTTTAGCGGAACCTGGCTTCTTGAAACTACAATTAGCTTGTTCTTTCTTGATTTTTGGACTTGAGAGAATATTAATCAAAATTGTGTGGGCTGTGATTATGTAAAATATTTAATTACTGGATCTGTTGGGATGGAAAATAATTATGTTTATATAACTGATGGTGCTGAAATAATGTGGCATTTTACTTTTAGACGCTGAGTGCTTACAACCTACTCCAAAGGAAATCTGGATATGCGGCAATTCTGTGATCTTGGCATCAAAGAAAAGAGCCAAAAGTCATCCAGATGGATTGCAGTTGGGCATATCTACTTCCAGGGCACATGTGTACTGGCATGGAATACAGGCAATGAGGTGGGAACAACTCATGCCTCTTCTGCATGAAATTTATCATCTTCGCTCCTCTCCATCTGTTATAATAATTCATGTTGGAGAAGATGATCTCTTGCCCAAAAATAACGTTTCGCTCATCATCTCGATGAAAAATGACTTGGCTATTCTTAGAAGGGCATTCCCAGATACTATTATAGTTTGGTCTTCACTGTTGCCAAGGCGTTTTTGGAAGAAAGGCCAAGAACCTGAACACATGGACAAAATTCAAAAGCATATTAACAGGAAAATGGTAGAGTATTGTAATGAAATTGGTACACATTTTCTGTCACATAACTTGATTACCTCTGATAAAATAGGCCTCTTCTTACCTGACGTCAATGACTTATCTGATGCAGGAGCTGATGTCTTCATAGCAGACCTAAAAAAAGTTTTAAGGTTCTATCAGATATTTGGGTAGGTGAGATAAAGGAATTGACAAATATGTTTGTAGTCGTCAGGAACAATGGGCCTGCTCTTGACTGAATAATGGTGCAGATGACTTGATGATCACAGGACATTTTAAACTCATTTGGAGATATAAATGATACAGGTTAATAGGTATGTTTAACTACATTCTGAAATTATGGGACCATCTAGTTCTGAAAGAACTGATTCATCTTACCATTACAAAGATTTTAAATATATGTTCTCATTGTTATTGAAATGGTGCTTTTGATTTTCTGGAAAGATCTGTGGCACTGCAACGAAAAAAAAGTGCGTGAACCTATGGACCCTGTATGTGCCTGTTGCATAGTTTATGTGCCAATCTTTAAAGAGGCACAAATTCCCTAGTATTTGACTGTAGAGTATCTGGAATTCTAACTAGAACATGTGGAACCATTTTCACATGTTAGCAAATTCTATGTGAAAGTGTATGATGGGGATGGAGGGGAACTATGGAGTCAACAGTTAAAATATGTTGCCTCTCTCGATATATAGAGCATAGATATATGTCTTTCCCACTTGGATATCATCAAAAGCTGTAAGGGATATATATTGTATATTTGCATTTGAGTTGATTCTTGGTTGCAGTCAACAAACTACTTAGTCCAAAAGGCCATTGATGGTTATGGGCTATTTGAGAATACACCACTGAGGATTGTAAATTGCAGTATTTCTGTCAGAGACAAGCACCATCGTCTATAAGAGGTCATTTGAAAAGATAACTGACTTTAATTCTCAAGTGTCTTTTTCTACCACAGTAATACCTACAATTATGCCTTATCACAACTTACTGCCTTTTGTACCAGTTTTAATATTTTTCTCACTTTACTGTTTGTAGTTCTGTTGTAAATCTGTCCATTTAACTAATTTAAGGATATAAGATTATGTATTATAAGTGCTTAATATCCAGGTTTTCCTCTGAAAACTGTATTTCTGGATAATAGGTGTAGAGAAAGTCTGTTTAATGATAGAACTACCTCTCCATCATTCATAATTAACCAAAATTGCAGCTAGTCCTTTTGGTCCATTCGAGAAAATTTAAACAGCAGTAATAGCATAATACCTTGATGAGGATCAACTAAATGTCACAAAGTATTGAACAAGCTTTTGGCTTTCACAGAATTCTTTCTCAGGTGAACATGAAACAAAACAAGACAGAAAAGGAAGGAACAGGGCAAGAAGAGAAAACGATGTTGCTGGTAAGGGCATGGTGAGAAGGCACAATGGAAGCTCTATTTCTAATATCTGGCGATCTTAACATGGTGGTTCAGGAATCTCTTTGCCACTGATTTAATTAGTTCACTCCTAATGTTGCACCAAAACATACTGGAACAAAAACAGAACAGCACATCATTTGTTTAACATCGAAGTAACTGCTGGCTTGTGTTTTCAAAGGGTGAGTGACCATTCCCAATATGGTTTCATGCAACTGCAAATTCTGGATTCCATCTCCCAGCATTTCTGACCATTGGTCATGCTGGCTGGGGATAATAACAGTTGAAGTCCGAAGTGTCTGAAGCATACTGAGTTGGGAGAAGTAGAGGATGGAAGGAAGCGTCATTTCTGACTAATACAAAATAAAGGCAGATAATATTTGCCGCAAAGCTTCACACAACAGTGTGAAACCCCAGCATTCCCTGTAATAGAACAATAGTTTTAATTGGTTAATGCTTTATGTTGCTGCTGCCATATTCTCATTTTAATGCCAGATAATTTTAGTATGTAAAATTTTAATCTATGTTATTAGGCTATTTTAATATAGATCAATTTCTTAGTTTATGCCTTTGTTCTCTGATTTTGACTTATTGTGAATGAATTGTATTGTTTAAATTGTTATTAAAATGTTGTCTGTTACGTTGTGAGCCACCCAGAGAGCCTATGGCTAATGGGACAGCATGCAAGCCAAAATTTTTTGCAAAATGGCCAGTTAATATTACAGATGGAGCTTCTGCCATGCCATATAACAGCAAAAGCTGTTTCTTTTCTTCCTTTCCCTTCTTTTGTGTAATATTTTTCCTGATCAGTAATAATCTGCTACATTTTGATGTCCTTTTTTTTTTTGGTCACTATTTTATTATAAATCTATAAGTTAGAATTTAGCCTAGCAGAGTCAGAATAACACTGTAAATATATAATGACCAAAGAACATATAGATCTGTTTGTGAGGGGTTAATTTTAGCATGAGGATGAACCTCTATGCAGATGTCAAACATGGATGGACGCCGAAATTCCATACATATTTTCAAGTAACTGTTAAGTAGCAGTATTGTGTGAGCCATGAGCATGTATTTAAGACAGCTGGAGTTTAGCTGGTGGAGACTACCACTCTTGGAATTACCCAAATTAGAAACTATTTTTAAAAAATAATGTAAATATGTAATTGTATTGTAATAAAACTATGAATTTGACTTTGCGTAGTTCCTTCCAGTTTTGTAGCTTTTAGAATTGCAGAAAACTTTACTCTGACCCAGTACAAAAACATTGGAGGTAAGTTGTTTAGAAAGCTGCTGCCATGTGAACGAGGACACAAATGTTTGCTGCTGCTACTACTATTGCTGGGTTTTGTTGCTATACCATCCCAAGGGCTTAGGGGAGCATGGACATATGGGCATCTATGAAACTTTTGTTTCCTTTTTGAAACGAGTAACATTTGGAGATAATCTGCAACACCAAGAAACTTGTGAGTGCCACAGCTGGTTTGTCATGAACACCGTTAGCTTCTGTACAAGCTGAAGGAGGCTTTTCCAAAACAATCTATAGAATTGGATCATTTATGTATGTGCAAAATAGATTTACACCAGAGCGAGCATCATAGGAGCAAGGAAAAGGATATACAAAGTAAGATGTCTAATTAGAGTTATAACTGCGCATACACATGGAAGAATTGGGGTTGCATACAGTTAATGTATATTAATTTGGTAGCATCTTGAGTGTAAAACCTCAAAGGGCCAAGGGCTACATCTTGCAGACACTGCTACTGTGTTTAAGTTAAAACAATTTTCTGCCTTTCTGTGAAACCAAGCCTGCTGTTTCTACTCCGTCACTTGATTTGCTTCCTATGTCACTGTTAGTTAACCTTGTCAAGATTTTCAGCCTGTTTCCGTCACACATCACAGTGTTTAAGCTACGGGGCAATAATGTATTGTGGCATAAGGGTATCAAACCGATTGTGATAATGGTTCTCTTATCTACATGCAATGGTGATATTGCACTTCTGTCAAAAGGATTCCTGATAAAGGAATTGAATTGACTTATCTTAGTTTTCATCTTGACTTGACGGATCACCTTCTTGGATATAGACTGCTATGGTCATCTTGTACAATAACTTTTAAATTAAAACCCATCCTTTCTATGCTCCAGTTGAGTAGCTAAGGCTGCCTATTCTCTGCATTTCTTAATATTTGTGCCAGTGACGCCAGTATTTTTCTTAGCTGATTTGACTTGGAATGGGTGCAAATGAAGTAATGCCCAATTCCCTTTCTCTTCATGCCATTTATTCAGTACAGCTATGGCAGTGGAGGAAAAGTTGGGTTTCTTCACTTTGACATTAATTCCTGAAAAATAAGCTTTCAGCATTTCTGTATGATATTGTAGGCCACCTGAAAGTCTACTGTTGTCTGCTGAAGTAGGGTTTACCAACTTAAGTGAGTAGAGCTGAATAAATGTACTTACTCTGAAAACCCATGTATACATTTAGGTTTCTATGCTCTGCCTGTTGCCAACTGTAGACAGTATGTGGTGCTCGTTCTGTCTCTGTCTCTTTGCTCTGTGTGTTTGTGCATGTGAACGTACACACCCCTGCTGGGGTGTGCAAGGAGATGCTTTTTAATGCTTTCCCCCCAACAGTTTTTCTCTTGAAAATTGTCCCTGATTTGCTCTTCTGGCCATGGGAAGAAATATTTGGATATGTACATTTTTCATTTTTTCAGAGCAAAACAGCTTGGATGGACAGTAATTTTCAGCAGCAATATTGCCAGAAAAGAAAGTGTTAAAAGGCTCCTGAAATGCCTGCCTCTTGCCCTATTCTGTGGTGGTGGGTATATTCAAGCAATTAATTGGCATAATTAGCTAGCCAGTGAAAGCAGTATTCTCCCAGCAAGCAACCTTATTTCAAGGAACTCTTCTTTTTTCAGAAAGTATGGTGCAAACTTGCTAAAGTTGAACTATTTATTTATTAATAATATAACTATGTCAGTTTTTTAAGACTCCTTTCTTTTTAACAACTAAAGTCTATTTCATGTCTGTAAACTGCAAAGTGGCCATCTCTAATACTCAGGTGTTTGAGAGAGCAGCTCCCATCAGACCCAGGTGTCTTGGCCATTGGCCAGGGATTATGAGAGAGAGGGTACAATCCTGGGCAGTTTTAGAGAACAAAAACCCTGCAATTCCCAGCCTTGCCCAGACAGTCACATGACTGGACTTAATATACACCATTGGAAGCATCACTGCTACTTCTACCAAAGTGCAGCATTTCAAATGAGAAGCACCTGTGACTGTTCTAGAACAAAATACACAATGCTCACTTTGCATTAATCACAAATCCAAAAACAAAACACAAGGAAAGACAATTCAAAACCCTCCTTTAAGTACATGTCCAATATTTATATAGTGTGTGCTGCTGTTAATCTGTTTTTGCCTTCTGATAGTCATCTTTTGCAAATTAGATTTTAAAAGGGCCCTTTTGCTACTTAAGTGGTACTTAAGTAGCAAAAGCAACCCAGCACAACTAACCTGCAACACTCATACCCCCTAGTGAAGCTGGCTTTTGCAAACTGGTGTGGATTCTGTGGAATTTTAAAAGCAGCAATGATACCTCCAAGTCCCCATTAAATGTGTTGACAGTGCAATACCTTTGACCTATCTGAATGTGATTCAGCAGTACTACGTCTATGCAAAACCTGGTTGAGAAATCCATAATAAAGCTTTCCTACATCTGTCAGGACCAGCTTCTCTTACCAACTTCTCTCACCAGTGGAAAGAGGCGTGACGGAAGGCATGGTGCTATGCAAGTTAGGGCAGAAGAAAGGAGAAGCAGTCTGGGGATTAAACACAATAGGAACACAATGTTATACCTGCCCTGCCCTGCCCGAAATCCTGAGCATACTTCTAACTGTAATATTCTAAATGTGCTGTATTGTCTGAGTGTTGTTTAATATTGCTTGACATGGCAATAATGTTGGCATCAATCGCCCTAGAATAATACACAGAGAGGCTTTCATTTTCGCTACGAAAAAAAATGTGGCATGTTTCACTGTTCATGTCTATAAAAACCCACTTTTCTACCCATGCTTAGCAAAGATGCATGCACATGATTTATGTTAAGTTAAAAAAGTACACTCCGTCATAATTCTGCCACAGCCTGCAGCTGTGAGACACTAATTTTTGACAAGTGTGGTATTTATTTCATGATCCAGTCCTTAGGTTCTGTGTTATTTGAAGAGGGGACACAAAGGATCCACAGTAACCAGTTAGGCACAAACCCGGGAGGAAGTCTCAAGGAAAGTGATGGGGCTTACTTCGGAAGAGACATGCATACAGTTGAGCTGTTAGACAGCTGTCCTGTGCATACTTAGGTTTGGATCCAGAAACCTTCTACCAGCAGAAGGATGCTACCTGTAGCCCTGTATCTTTCTGCTGGTAGCCACGAAGTAGTTACAATGGAGCGAATAGGAAATATGCACTGGACAATTCGATAGTCCACTAGATGGCGCTCATATCTAAGCAAAGGCTTTAAAGATTCGATTTGCTAGCTGTGTAGGGCCATGCCCATCGACCAGTATTTTCTCGGCGGGTTAGAGGGCAAAATAAGATGTTACGCATATAAATAAAATAAAATGCAGAACGACTGCATTAATGTTGAGATACAGTCATATTTATGCCTTAGCCCAGTTACTGCTTTCAGTAAGACAAGAAGTGTTTTTCTGTACAGTACATTTACCTTGTCCTCGTTAGGAAGAGGAGTAGTGACAGGCCAGTGCTTTTTTTGTCATAGAATGCACTGCAACGGCGTTCCGGCACCTTTTTTCGACAGATTTTCCAAGTTTTAAAAGTAACTTTTGAAAATTTGATGTTTAGTCCACATGGATTTGAATCGCCCTGTCGAGCGTAGCAGGTTGGCGGCAAAATCATTAAATCGGTGCATGTGGGCTGGTTGTGTGTCAAGTCTGATGTATGCGTACTTCGTCCGCGCTGGTTGTGATGGCACCGCTCGGCTTGTGGTGCTGCTTGGCTTGTGATTGGCCCTGTGGTTGCGCGCTGAGTGTTTACTGCGGGTGGCAACCGTTTTGTTTCGTTATACAACTGACATGTGTGGATGTGTGTTAAGTGATTCATGAGTTCCGGCACCATTTTTCTTGCCAAAAAAAGCACTGGTGACAGTTCACCCTTATTGTGCCCTCTAGATTTTACTTGATTCTTGTTTCTCCACCCTGAGTGGAGCTCGCTATGATAAAAGTGATCAATCAACCTTGTTTGACTACTTGTCTGGATTTGCACTATATGGTATGGAGGACATATTTTAATTGAGAAGACTGGAATGAATAATCTTTAGTCCCTGTTTGTTCTACTGAGTCACAGAACATGACTGTGCTTGAAACTTTATTTTCCACTACCCTTTACCCTTTTGATGAAGTAATTGATGGAGGGAGGCAGCCATCACAAAGAGCAGTGTTAACATGGAAGGGACAAGAGAAGGTCTTCAACAAAATGTTACAGTGTCTCTCCCTGGCTCTTAGCAGGAAGTTTGCTCAGGGTTCTGGCCAGCCAGAAATAAGAGCATTGTAGCCATATTAGAGGCTTGGGTAGGGGAAGATATTTCAGGAGAGGGAAAAGATAACTGACAGCATTTCCCTCCACCCCATTTTCCTAAAGCTTCTCCTTACTCTGCTATACTCTTCTCTCTGGGATTCTCTGCAAATAGCAGGAGAGTTTCTTATCCTGCATGCTGCCCCCCCCACCATTTTAAATCCTTTGTTCAGGATATCATAAGCAATGGAGCACTTAAGCGTGCCAATTCCACCCCTCCACGGAGCACACAGGACTTTGCAGGGCCTTTCCCCTCAGTTTTTCTTATTTTCTTCTAATTTACAAACTCAACATGCTTCTGCTTACTTAGTTGCTTTAGCATGCAGAAACTGCTGCCTTATCTTTGGGTGGGTCCCTTTAGCTTCCAATTTCATAAGCACCAAATCACACAAATTTGGTCTTCAAGAGAGCAGTCTTGCAGCAAATGCTAGCCCCGACATTCGTTCATTCATTCATTCATTCATTCATTCATTCATTGCTTTTATATCTTGGCCAACTACTAGCATCTCAGGATGGTTTTACAATAAAAGTAACACAAGTGAAATAGAGCACAGCACCCAGTGCTTCCACTATAGTAAAACCCACATTAAAACCTATTAAATATTAAAATAATGGAAAAATAAAAAGATTTTTGCCAGGCGCCGAAAGGAATAAAGGGTCGGCGCCAGGCGAACCTCTCGGTGGAGCGTCCTCCATAATCGGGGTGTCAGTGCAGAGAAGGCCCTTCTCTGGGTAGCCACCCTGCTAAACTTCCAGAAGGGCTCCTGGAGAAGAACCTCTTCTTAAGGGGCAGGAAGGCACATATGGAAGGGGGTTTGTTGACATCCCCAAACGGCCACCTTCACTAGCGTCCAGTGAAAAGGGAAGCTGTGGCAAGAGGTGTGAATCAGCAACCTGATGCCCAAAGGGACCACAGACCACCATGACTTAAGTACGCCACTTATAAGGACTGTGATGATTGCATGAATGAGGCTTCCCTCTCTCTCTTAGGCTCAACCGGATGCTTCCAGATGAGGCTTTTGTCCTGCCATCACCGGCCTTGCTCATGGCATTTTAGAGGGGTTGCAGACGTCCTGGTCTTCCATCGGTAGCCCTGCATGCTTTCACACTGCTTCACTTGGAACAGCTGCTCAAAACCTTCAGAGTGAGAAGGATGTCTGGAAGTCCCCTCTTGGTCTACAAAGCCAGTCTTTGTGCCACTGTAACAACTAGCCTATCTACAGAATTGTAAACTTTTGTGAAAACGCCCTTGTAGTTGAAAGGTAAGGAAACGTAGTTGAAAGGTAAGGAAACCAGTTTCCTCCATGGGCTGGTGTACTCTATACTTCAATCAACCTTCTCGCTTACTTTTCCCTGTCTGAGTCAGAGATAGCCTGGATAGTTATTTGGGTCCAGCATGATGACAAACTGGCAAGCTCATTAGAAAGGCTGGAAAGAAATATACAGCTAAATTAGCTGTAACACATGCCCTGGAGCAGAGTTGGGAGTATAATTGTAATTGCAATTGCTTGGCATTCAGGCTTATAAGCCTCTGGAAGCTTTAATGAAACATTAGAACTATGCAATTGTTGCCACAAACCGCCATGTGCCCGGGATGGTTTGCCAGAACAGAAGCCGTGTGGGGTGAATAATGAACCCGCCGTGCATGGCATGTGCGTACAATTGGCAGTAGGAAATGGGTTCAAGTGACCATAGTAGATAAGAATGATACAGGTGCTTTCCCCCTGTATCTACAGTTTCCTGCTGGCTTGCAGAACTGCTCCTGTGCTCTCCTACTCTCCTTTCATTCCTCCAGATCACTAGTAAATGCTGTCACAGGACAGCTTGTGCTGTCCCGGGTCACAGTCTTAACATGGCGTGGGAGGCAGTGCCAGCTTACAAACTGAGAATCATAAAGCACTGCTTGCCAGTAGAGTGAGGAGATACCTGGATACTCTAGGAAAACTCTGGCACTTCCTCCCTGAGCCCTGCTTGCAGCCAACCTTTTACTCTTCTGAGTTGGGTAGCTGCTTTTTAGAAGCATATATTCCTTTGTTGGGATGCAGCTGGCGCAGTGGTTTAAACCGCTGTGCTTCTGGGCTGGTTGATCAAAAGGTCACAGGTTCGAATCTGCATAACGGAGTGAGTGCCCGCTGCTCCGTCCCAGCTCCTGCCAGCCTTGCAGTTCGAAAGCATGCAAATGCAAGTAGATAAAAAGGTGCCGCTTCGGTGGGCAGGTAACAGCGCTCCGTGCACTTTGGTGTTTAGCCATGCCGGCCCCATGAGCACGGAGACTGTCTGCGGACAAACGCTGGCTCCCTCGGCTAGGAAACGGAGATGAGCACCGCCCCCTAGAGTCAGGCAGGACTGGACTTCACGTCAAGGGGAAACCTTTACCTTTACCTTATTCCTTTGTTGCTTGCAAGTCCTCCATACTCATGGTTGAAAGAGACACTCAGTTTCTTCCTGCTGGGTGGAACAGGCTGTTTTCCACAAAGCAAGGGAGGGAGGGAGATTCCTTTAAGGTTCATGCAAGTTTAGATAAAAAAGAACCTACAACTCAGCTTGCCTCAGATTCAGTCTTCAGAAACCCATCTTAAAATGTCACATCTTAGCTGTTTTGTCTATCGAGTCACTGAAGGAGGGTTACTTTTAAGTAACTTGGCATAGGATTGTTGCCTCAGTTTCTCTGTCAATGAACACAACTGTTCCCTCTTGCTCTTTTACTTACGCACACACGCACACACGGACGCACGCACACACACTGACTAAACATGGCTTTATAAGGGGCAATTTTATACAGGTGCAGCTTGTTCTGTATGAATAAGAAAATATACCTGCCTAATTTTACTTTTCCGTGTAACTTTATTGTGTTTTTGTCTGCTTCCCTTATATACATGTATTTCATCAATGACATAGAAGAAGGGTGTGATTAACAGTCTGCTGATCAAATTCACAGACGATACTAAAACTGGAGCAGTGGCCACAACTGAGCAGCAGGTACTACACATCCAAAAGGATCTGGACAGACAATGGAAGTGGGCAGGAGACAACAGGATGGCGTTCAATGTGGATAAGTGCAAGGTCTTGCACTTGGGGCATAGGAATAGATGTCATAAGTACAGGTTAGGTGACAAGTGGCTGGAGAGCAGCACTTGTGAAAGGGACCTCGGGGTACTGGTTGACTGCAGACTAAACATGAGTCAGCAGTGTGATGCGGTGGCCAAGAGGGCGAACGCCACCCTTGGTTGCATAGCCAGAAGTGTGGCTTCTAGATCAAGAGAGGTATTATTGCCACTCTATATGACTCTGGTGCGCCTGCGACTGGAGTATTGCGCTCAGTTTTGGGCCCCTTGTTACAGGAAGGATATAGCCAGGTTAGAGTCAGTGCAGCATAGGGCCACAAGGTTGGTGGCTGGTTTGCAGGGGATGCCGTATGAGGCGAGACTGAGGGAACTGGGTCTCTTCAGCCAGGAGAAGAGGAGACTCAGAGAGGATATGTTGGCGACATACAGGTATGTGAGGGGATGTCACATGGAGGTGGGTAGAGACCTGTTCTCCCCTGCAGAGGAAGGCAGAACGCGCTCCAACAGAGCCAAGCTCAGGGAGCCAAGGTTCAACTTGGATGCCAGGATGCACTTCCTGACAGTTAGGACCCCGAGGGTGTGGAATGGGCTTCCACGGGAGGTGGTTGAGGCCCCATCGGTGAGGGTGTTCAAAGATAGGCTGGACATGCACATGGTGAGCATGTCGTGAGTGGAGCCAGCTGGAGCTGGCGGACGGACTAGATGGCCCAGGAGGCCCCTTCTGACTCACTCTGTTTCTATATTTCTATGTGTTTATTTCCCCAGATAATATTTGCCTCCAACCGAAGAATCTAATATTTTCAGGGGTGGGAGCTGACAAAATTAACTGGGGCTAATGAGGTCTGTGGCAGCAGCTTGTTTAACTTGCGGTCCTTTGATGAAAGCCGTCTGCCTACAAGAGCAATAAATCAGATATGAGGAAGTTGCAATGTACTGGGGCCATTGGCAAAGGAACGGAGCAGCGCTGCTGTGGCAGGAAAGGCAGATGAGATGTTTTGCGTGAAAGTGAAATTCGTGACCATCAGGGTGAGACTTCCTAGGCTATGCAAGCTGCTTCTCATAAGCGTGCTGTACTTTCTCTTGTCTCTTGCCGCCTACATTGGCTTCACCGAAAAATACCGACACAGGTAAGAGGAGCTCGATCTCCTACTTAGATGCACTTTATGCATTTCTTGCTCTAACAAGCTGGGGTGGTGTTCCTTTCTTACACTGACATGCATCAAGCTCTCTCATCTCTATCTTGCTTTTCATGAACATGTCAACCTGCTCTCTGGGCCAAGAAATTCCTGTGCAATCTGACAGTAAAAGAACACTTTCTGTTAACGGCTCACGTCTAGCTGCAGGGTAGTAAGCAGCCTTCTTTGCAAGATAGGGCTGCCAGGTCCCATCTTGGAAGTGGAAATTTCCCTGTAACTGGCAAAGCTTCACAGCTCTTCCCCAAATCTGTGCTCCCATGTATATAAAGGGGTAGCTCCAGAAACATATGAACTAAACACAAACAGTTATTTTTCAACTGAAAAACCTTACCTTCTTGTAATGAATACATTCCCCTAAACAATGTGTAAAAGTGATGGGTTTAAAGATGAATTTCTGCAGAGATATCACAGTTAATTATAATGAAAAATGAACTACAAATCCATTGAACTAAGTTATTTATTTATTAGATTTATATCCTCCCTTTTTCTTTTTTAAATAACTTTCTTTATTCATGTCAGAAGCATCACAGTTAAAATAAGGCATATTACAAAACATATTATATTAGGGCATATTATAAAACAAGAGATTCAAAATATAAAATTAAAACATGTACAGGTATTTACACGTGTATTTATAGGCTGCCTATAACTGCCGAGGCCTTCCTAAACAGATCTGTCCCAGAAGCTAGCGACATTAATTGCATTCTGTCGTGCTGACATGAGGTCCTCAAATGAGCACTGATCAGGACACAAAGACCAGCTATACATATGTGTTGTTGTCTGCGCATCACCGCAGTCACAAAGGGCAGAAGCCACCAAACCCCCCCATTTGTTCAGACCATCTCTGGACCTTGTTGTACCTGTACACAGTCTATTCAACGATCTCCATACCTCCCGATTTTGGTTCCAACTCCTCCGTTGGTTCCATCCAGTGCTGGTACTTTGTGGCTTTCCATAGGTCCACAATACTTTTAAATTCTTCAAAAACTTCTGTTGACCTAAGGAAGCTTTTCCTAAATTTTAACATCTGATGAGCTGGTTGTAGCCCATAGAGAGGGTGGTCCGGATATCGATGAGTTAATGCTGCAGCTTTTTCCCTACATGCTGCGGCTTCTCTGCACAGAACTCACAGTGGCTCACATCTTTCTCCCTCTGCTGTTCTCAATCCCATCCACACAACAACAGCCCTGTGAGGTAGGGTGGGCTGGGAGTCTGTGACTGGCCCAAAGTCACCCAGGGGACTCCATGGCACAGACCGATGCTCTTGTTTTGTTAACATTATGGATATCCAAAGTATGCAGTGAGCACAGGGTAGGAAAAGGTTTAAAGTAAAGCCAAGAAATATAAGGAAGGGTACAATCTGACTACTGTAAGGCACATTTGTCAGTCAGAATTTTTCTTATTCATTCTTCCATTGAAATAAAGGGGCCTCTAAGGTACCTTGTAAAGTTCATAGCACAGTAACCATGGACTACAGAACAGAATTATCAGCTCAAAGGAATTTATTACGTGTATATTCAGGAGGTTTGAGAGAGAGTGTGTGAGAGTTAACCAGTTTCTGTAGGTTCTTAGGCAGAGATTTCTGGCTGGGCAAAATCTTCCTGCTGTTGTGAGGCCCTGAGGGTCCACAGTGCATGTCTGGAGATGAAGGCAGCTCTCAGAGATAGCAAGGAGGCAGGACAGGATGAGTCCCTTCCTCCTCCCCCTTGTTTAAAGGGGTGGAAAAGAAATGGCAAAGGAGGGGAGGGGAGGGGAGGGGAGGGAGAAGAGGGGAAGCTGCTGTCCACAGCAACTCAAAACACTGCTAGGGCCACGATGCATGCTGATTAGCTTACGAGAGATTCAACACCACCCAAACCACAGAAAAAGCATTTCTGCCCCTCCAATCCTTTGACCTACAAACCTCCTTCCCCCTTTTTTCTCCATGCCTGTCAGGATTCCAGACCTGCTTGGAATGACAGGTTCAGTGGAAGCGTACAATCTCGCACTCCACAGTTTGGTTTACAGCAACAGGAACCTCCAAATTGCAACAGTGCTGAAGGGTAGCAGTGCAAAAACTGACTACAAGGAAACAGGACATGTGCAGAGTGTTTTCTGGAATAGTAGTCATGTATGGTTTTGCAAGGCAGGGGCAGGGGGAATGAGACCCTGAATGAGCAAGATGCAAGAAGGATAGACAAAAGGAAAGCATTGAGACCTCAGGGAAAACATCAAAATCTTGAGTGATAGATAAGGAGATAAAACAATCAGGAGTTACAGAATTTAACAGGTTTTAGTGTTTGCTTTTTACAGTCTGAGGCAGGAATTTTAGGAAGACAATGAGGGAGCTGGCAGAAGGATCTATTTGATGTCCAGGGGCTTGTCTCCTTTTCCTATAGAAGGAGCCTGAATGGAAAGACACTGCAGATTGGGGGGAGGGGAGAGCAAACAGGCGGTTTCCTATATTCTAAAGTATAAAACTTGTAGCTATTCTTAGCGCAACCCTAACACACCACCACATAGCACACTTCCTTACCTTGCTGCACTGCTTCAGTCTCCACTACCCCCATTCCTCCTTTCTTCTTTTTCGCCCTGGCACCGCTGGTGTTCCCTTCCCTCCCCTTTGCATTACTGCAGGCCTCTGCTCACTTCTGCCACTGCCCCCCCCCCGTCATGGGTCTCTCAAAGCGCTCTCTCTGCCACCCCCCTGCCACCCCCCTCTTCACACAGGGACTCCAGGGCACCCTGGCTTCTCTTTCTGCACCGCCTTCCTGTCCCCCAGTTCTTGCTGATCGCCCCTTGGTGCTGAAAAGATGGCAAGGTTGGGGCCAGACAAGCCTCAGTGGGGAGGTCCTCCCACAGATGTGGGGACACCACAGAGAAAGGCCTCCCTCTTGCTGCCACCCTCTGATCTGCCCTCAGAGGAAGGCCCCAGGTGCTGAGCATACTTTCTGGGTGCAATGAGGCTGGAAAAGGCGCCCCAGCAAGTACTGTGGTCCCAAGCGGTGTAAGGCATTTGGCGTTCCCCTAGGCAACCGCCAGAGCAGGGGTTCAGCCAGGCCCTTTGGCTGGGGCCACATGATCACCAGGGAAGGAAGCCACAGGAGGCCCTTTTACCCACGCAGAGGAGGGCCAGTTGTGCGGTGCATGGCTTGCACAATTCCCTGGGCACTAAGAGGGTTATCATTTCATCCAAACCAGCTGAGGGGCACAGCAGAGTAGGGCTTGGTTGGAAGCCACCCCTGCCACACACCTTGCTGGGTTCAGACAATGCGGCATCCTGTGCACCGTGAGCACAATCAGGCCTATCGCTCAGTGCACAGGGCAGGAAAAGAAGCCACTGGGCCTTTCCTCCCAGGGATCATGCAGACCTGTCCAAAAAGGTTCATTAAGCAGGGAGGGAGCTGTCTGACTTTCTAAGCAGGGAGAGAGTGGTCTGACTTTCTGAGTATGTACCTATGGAAAAAGGTTTTGTTCTTTACAGAGCTCAAGACACAACCCTATCAATTATGTCCACACTACCCAGAAGCCCCAAACTTGGAGGCTTCCAAGATTCTTATCAGGACAGGAGGAGCTGGGTCTTCACCTCCTTACTCTCTGTGCTTGGCAGGTTTCATTAGATGGAATTCTGAGCCCACCTAGTGCAGAAAAGGAGGGGGAAGAAGCCCCGGGTTATCTCATACTGTGGCTTCTCCAAACTCTTTCCCTCTCGTGAACCAGAATGTCCCCCTTCCTCCCCCAAGGTTGCCTTTCCAATTTTGGAGGAGGTGTGTGGTCCTTTGAAAGGAAGTGGGTGGTTCTCTGGCTCCCCCTTCCAAGGCCAGGGAGCTGCCTCCAAATGGCTTTTCTGAACAATCCTAGGAGTGCAGACTCTACACCAGTGGAGATTTTTTTCCCCATGGAACCCTAATTCTAGCCCTGATTTTTACTAAGCACGGTGATCCCACAACACTCTTCCTTCTTTCATCTGCTCCTGTTGCCTCAGTGCTTTGCATAATGTAGTAGGTTTGGAAATGAAGAGAAAACATTTTAAATATAAATGAATGAATAAAGAGATTCTATAGTAATACCCCAAATGAATTCTTTCAACAATTCCCAACACTTATGCAATAGAGTCCTAGGAACCGAATGGCACAATGTATTTCCTCGTTTGCTGCTTGGACACCAACTGACAATCAAATAGTTGGTTTCATTTTAAAAGTCATTTTAAATTTGATTTTTTGACATTTTTTGCAGAACCCCTACGAGGCTTTTGTCGAACCCTAGTATTCCACAGAGCAGAGTTTGGGAAGCGCTGCTCCACGCTGCCCGAAAGCCCTATTTTTGGTGGCGGAATGATGTGTGGGTGCTTCCAGCCAGAACTTTTGCAGCACTGTCCCTCTGCCCCATTCACAGAATTTTACAGGAGGCCCAGATGTTCTTCTGTTGGAACCCTCCTGTGTTTTTCAGCTGCTGCTCCTGTCTCTTTTCGTAGAGCAGAAAAGCCATCCAGATGGGGGCCAGATGGGAAGCAGAACTGTTGCACATGCCTTTTGGCCGGTAGCCCTAGGAGCCCTCTGTTTGGAATCACCCTAAGGCAGTGTGCTTGACAGGGCGAAGGGGTAAGCCTGGATCTTTTTAAGCATGCTGTCACTTTTCCAGTGTTACCTGAGGAGGTGTTTAAAATGTACACACAGTGCAGGGACCGAGTATTCCTGGCATGAGGCACTTCTGTTGGCCAAGGCCCATCCTAATTATCTGCCTCTCGGTATGTAATGGCTGCAATACGACATAAATCTTAGGGCAGGGGTGTCCAAACTTTTTGCAAGGAGGGCCAGATTTGGTGAGGTGCAAATGTGTGGGGGCTGACCATTCAGCCTGACATTCTTTGAACCATTAACATTAAATGCAAATTAACTATTTTATGAAAGACTAAGCAAATAACTTAACTGCACTAATGTGAAGGATGATAC